GTCAAGATCGTTTGTTATCCAGCAACCAAGATACTGGAATTTTTGTACGGGTTCTATATGTTTGTTGTAGATACTAATATTAATGTCGGCATTTGGTGCACGTGTAACGGCCGTAATATATGCTGTGTAGAATAGATAAGTTGCAGGCAAAGAATCTTAAGAAGAATAACTGGAAAAACAATGAGAAACGGAACAATAAGATATAGTATAGATAAGCTGGATGAACAGTGAAAAGGAAAACTGGAATGAACAAGTTAATAAAATGATAGAAAACAACAGAGTAATTAAAATAGTCGTAGAGAAGTCACTGACCAGAACAAAAAGCACAGATCAATCTAAAAACAGATGAAATGGTAATAGTTCAACAGAAAAGACGCAACATTGAAGGAAAACAGACCATAATGCCTACATAATGTTCCTAGATAAGACTTAAACAAATTTGACACACCCTGTATAGTTATCAATTGACGCAAATACTTTGTAATTCTTAAAAGATGTAAGCTATACAGTTTATTTCTATTTATTAATACAGGAAACTATGTCTATAAAGATGATGTTATTATTACGAGAAAACAGGATAGGCGCGGTATTATAACTTAATATTGATAACTAACGTAAATAAAAATAATTAAGATTAATCAGAAATAGTTTTAAGTTAGGAGTAAAATCGTTAACTTTAACGATAATAATTTCAGTCAAAATTACTTTTTTATCACCTTTCATTATGTTGTAAACCACATTTGGTATAAACATTTTTAATGATCATAAATATTTCTAGGAAATCAAGGAAAAACCAATATTTCTTACGAGATTTTGTTACTCAAGATTTGAAAGAAACACAGGAAAAAATATATGTCATAGAAAAAGGATTTTTGGTTATTCAAAATGCTCTTAATTCCAGGAATTTACTTGTGTGACGCCCCGATGAAAGATTTAAAATGTGATTGTCGGTAACAAAAATTTCGTTAAAAGTTGTATTTTCAACACAACTTTTTTCGGTAAACTGGAAGCAGTTTACCGAAAATTTCGTTACACTATTAATTTTATCGTATCATCTAGCTTTCTCCATATTCGTGTGGAGGGCTGTTGCTCTCCGCCGATACACATATATGTCGTCCCTTTGATTCAATAATGCCATTCAATCACATATCTGAATGTCGATTAGCCGAATTACTGACGATTACGAAGATAACGTTTAACAGGTTAGCTAGACGGCGATCAGTAGTGTATTCAAACAGCTAATTGATATAGTCATCTAGTCGCATGGCTAGCCCTTTCATTTGAATGAACAACACGTTATGGTGTCTTACTTATAAAATGATGTTATTTACTTTACATATGAGGTTATTAATAATTTTCATATTACATTTAAATCATTTATTGACACAACTTGCTATGACTTTTAGATCCACAAACAACTTTTTCCTTGAAGCAAGCACATCTCATGGTACAGCATTGTTTTTGTGCTCGTGTACATGAGCATTTTTGAAAACCACCTTGCTCCCCAAAGTATGATTAAATAGTCAAAGCTTCTCGTAAAGAAATCGGAGTATCTAAAATTTCATCATTATGGCTTTCTGTTGACGAGTGCAATTCTTGTCGCACAAACCAATTTTTAATAGTTCCTGTTTTTGTGCCTATTCTATAAACTCCATTTTTAAAATCCACAATAAGAAAAGTTGTCAGTTTTTTTATTATTATTATTTTTTTTTTTAACCAGTTAACTGGTGTTACTAGCGGCGCAGTGGTCAAGAAACAAATTATGTCAATAATATGGCGGTTTTTCAATCAACCATGTCGTTGAACTTTTTATGTGCATAAAAATTCGACAAAATAACAAGTCATGTGATTGAATGGCGTTAGTCAATCAAAGGGCTAACTGTTTAATTGAATGGCTAATTTAACCATCTGGCTACTACATATATATTGGGTTTCTAGGTTTTGACATTAATTTCAAGTCCCCATTTCTATATTCCTCAATTAATTTTCTAGTGATACGCAAATGAAAAAATAGATATGCTATATATACACATTTTATCACGAGATATTTTGACAAACCATATCTTGGTTACCATTAGTCCTACAATATTTTACAAGAGACTATTTTAAATTACAGAAAATAAGCTTTCCTTTTTATTTAGTAATGCATATACCTAAATGTAAAAGAAAAAAAGTTATACTAACAAATTTAAAAAATGGCCATAAAAGCTATAGCAAAAATTGTTAAAAGTAGAAGACTTTATCTTGATTAACATTAGTAAAGGTAATTATTTTTTCTTTATATTCAATGTACAGCTGCTGCTATTTAGACCAGCGGTTAGACCAAAAGTTATATTCACAGTCTATGAACTCATTACAAAATGCAACTTGCCTCCTCCTGTGATCCTCAGTCAAAAAAAGTTTATCTGCAGATAAACTAAAAAAGTTTACCTGCAGCTGCAGAATTTATCAATTCACTTGCTTTAATCCTTCTATTTGCAGTGTGAATGCTGCCTGGAAATGCAGTCTCTTTGATAGCTTTTCGAGATGTGGCGAAAGGAACTTCTCTCAGACAATCTAGTAACACATCTTGTTGTTCAACCCAACCATGATAGAGAGTGAAATGATCCCATCTTTGTTTAATTTTCCATATGCACATATGGCTCACATTCAAATCTACAGCAACTTGCTTTACTGACCAACCATCTTTGATAATTGGCAAATTCTTGGCAATTGCTCTTGTTTTTTGGGTGTCATACTAGGCATTTTGGACTCGTTTAGGAGCTTTTTAGTTTTTATTTAGCAAATCCATAAGACACTGCGCTTTTACATTATTATATTATATTATTATATGAAAGAAATTGACAGTATCATATTATATATTATACAAAAAAAGTGTAAACTATTCAATGACCGCAACTATACCATATACTTTCCAATAACAGTGTAGAAAACAAGTTATAGAACAATGTTTGCGAAAAAATAGAGAAAATGGCCCAAAAATGGTGTGAGGGGGGAACTTTGAAAAATCGTATCTCAAATACTGTGATTCCTAAAAATTTCTACTAAATGACATTTTGAAGAGGAACGATAGAGGTTTTTTTCTGTAACACAATGCAGATACCAATTGGGATAACTCAAATGGATTTTATAAATCTGATATTACTCAATAAACTCTTGTGTTAGGATAAATATGTTTTAATTTAAATACAGTTTTCTAGCCTTTTAATTGAATAACTGTCTTTTTATTATCAAAATAATCAGTAAAAACTCTGGACCTTTTGTTGGAGCAGGTAACCAATGGAATGTAATGGAATTTATTGATAGGACTGTTACATTGAATTACAGCCATTGAGCAAAAGACAGAAGAAGGAATGTAAAGGTATTGGGAGCAAAAATATTGTTAGATGGGAAGTGCCATTTTAAGAGGCAATATTAAACAAGGAAAGAGTCTCTTTCCTTGTTTAAGAAATCAAATTTAGTTGGGTTATGTTATTGTTTGTCCCATTGAGCAAAAAGACAAAAGAGGGAATCTAATCAGGGAATGCGTCAAATTTAAATTTTCCAACACTTATCAACAGTAGCTATATAATATTTTTCAGAATGTGTCTTAGATGAGAAAGTTTTAATTAATTATTAACGATAACAGTCTAAAATGCGACACAATTGTTAAAAAACTTCAATATAAATAAGATTTCATGTGACATTTGGGACAAACAATAACATAACCCAACTAAATTTGCTGTCAAGCAAGGAGAGAGACTCTCTTTCCTTGTTTAATGTGGCCTCTAAAGATCGCACTTTCTGTCTAACAATATGTTTGCCCCCACTACCTTTACATTCCCTCTTTTGTATTTTTGCTCGATGGTTTGTCCCAACTGTCACATGAAATCTTATTTATATTGAAGTTTTTTAACAATCGTGTAACATTTTAGACTATTATCGTTAATATTTAATTAAAACTTTCTTGTCTAAGACACATTCTGAAAAATATATTATAGCTACTGACATCCGAAAATTTAAATTTGGCGCCTTTGCATTTCCACCATATTAAGAGGCCACTTTTATGAATTTTGGTCTCCTTTTCATAACGATTAGATTCCCTCTTTTGTTGCTCAATGATGCTCAATGATTACAGCACTCTTAAAATATTTAAATTTTTTAGCAAGTTGATTTTTTTCATTGATTTTATGTACTATTTAATTAGAAAATGACATTATTGACAAAAAAAAACAAACTTTACTATGTAAATGGCAGTAGATAGGACTTGATGGAAGACATTTCAGTTTGGCAATGTGAAGGGGGTACCAGTACAGATTATTCTAGTAGAAAAAAAGTTATGGGGCAAAAAAGGAATACCGCTTGTATTCCTGTTTTTTTGCTTCATTTTTGAATATATTTTTGTTAAAAAAAATTGTTTTTGACTTTAAAAAGTGACAGTATAATAGGAAATTTAATTTTGAACAATTTGTTTGGTATAGATGTATAAGGAGTGTATAGAATCTGGCAATAAATATTAAACTATTAACACAACAATCTTCCTGATTTTTCTAGTATTTTTTTTGTTTTTTACTGCTTGTTTCAATAACATTCAAAAGCAATATTAGATGCACTTCATATATTTTAGCAATGTCATTTTATTTGCTAAGTAAATAAAATAATCAAAACACTTTCTTTTAACACTGATCTGTATTAGAAACTGTAAAAACCACTGATAATATGATAATACTATTTGTTGTAAAATCATCTAGATACTTGTTAACAATTAAAAGTGGTTATCATTTTATTATCAAACAGATATTTACCACAAATAAAAAATGATTAGATAATGTAATTTTTGTTCCAATTTAATAATTCCCTAGAATTTGGCATTCTTTATTACATTTTTATATAGTATACATGACTTAACAATAAATTACATAAAAATTACACACATGAATGCATAAAGGTACTAAGAATTGCAAATGAAGTTACCTAACCACTTATTTTCATTAAATATGTGATTAAAAATAAAAACTTACCACCAAATTTGTTTCCGAATGTATCTGAACTCATTCCAATAAATTTATCCTTATTCTTCTTGGCCTTTTTCCTTTCTTCCCTCAGACGATCATCATCTTGTATAAAATCAATAAGTTCTTTTACTTTATGCCTAATGTTAACTCCTTGATCTTTTCCTATATCATCTATGAATGTGTAATTTTCCAAAGATCTAAGATCATAGATATGTTCTCTTGCTGATGTGACTACTCTTTCTGAACCATTTTTTATCAAGTAGTTTAGAACAAGTAATGACTGTAACAAAGAACCAAGTTATAAGAAGGATGATTAACAGCATTGTTTTGAGAATTTACTTAATGTTTAACCAAAGAAGTGAAATTTTATTGCTTATTGATGAATAGAAATAAAAAGATAAAAAGGCTGTAGATGAAACATGCATGTCATAGCTATTAATGTTTCAGCTTAGTGGTAATATTTTTATATTAATTGTAAAACACCAAAACTGACAAAAAATGCAATGTTCAAGAAAAAATGAGAAATTTTCTAATGTATTAACGTTTAAATAAACAATTACAGCATAATAAGGATGACACTTGTCTTGTAAAAAAAGTAAATAACTGTTTTTATCTCACAGACCTTGTATGTTCTCCTCCAATGTTGTTTGTTGTCTTGAAGCATTCGTTTCCAAAGCATAGACATAACTTCTGGAAAATGTTCATATGTGAAAGTGGAATGAGCTAATTCTTGCATTATTTGTCCTGTAGGTCCCCAAGGTTCTTCATTTGTGGCTTCCCGAACTTTCGCTTCGACTTCTGTATAGTTCATTACTACATTCGTACTACAAAGAATATATTTAAGAATTACATTTGTCATAAAAATAAAAAGTGTAATAGAAAAGAAGTAAAACATTAAATCTAAAGAAAATATTGATAGCCATCTGCTTATTTACTTACACTTTATCAGCCAACTCGCGGACCTTCCACATACTTGGAAAGAAGTTCTCCATTTTGTTACAATTAGTTTAAACAATGTTCCTAAAAAGTTTCAAAAAAATACTTATATTCCCTATAGTTTGCAAAAACGGTGACTTGGCCAGTCGTCGGCCATGATACAAATTTTGGCAGCTTGAAACCGATGTGAAGTTTGCAATTAATCCAGTTTACGAGTATTTCCAAATTAATCCGAATCGTCATAAACGGATATGCTTATATTTTATAAGGTTTTTACATTACACAACACGACAATCTAGTATTCCAGAGGAAACAGAAATTTGAAATCATTTTTCCCTCAAGTTATAAAATACGGAGAATCTAAATAAAAGGAAAATGTAATGTGTATGTTTGAAGTAGATATATTTGAGTAACAGTACATTTTAAGTTGGTACTTCCTATATAAAATGTATTATATTTGTAATATTAAATTCAAATAAAGATAATAAAATTGCAGTTGAAAGATCTCGTATTTAAATGATCAAAATATGAGTGAACCACTAGATATAATGAAAATACTCAACCGAAAAAGAAAATTCGCCTCAATACGTACTTATCAAAATAGCACAAAAATTTCGGGAGTTTTAGTTAAATGAAGTTGTATTTAAACAACGATTAACTCGAGATCCTACTAATATTTATAAAGCTAAATCTAAAATATGTTCTGCTTCTGCTGAAATAGTTGTGATTAGAAAATAGGCATAAACTTTAAATTGAACTTTCAATTCAATAGTTTCATAAAACCAATTAGCAACCATTGCCCATTATTTAATGTCATAAAATTGAATTTGACGATTTTTTCTCATCTACTATAGTTTATTTCAAATTTACTATAATTTATGGCCCTGGCACAATAATCCCACTCTCCAGGGTTGAGAACAGCGTGTAGAAGTTGATACTGACTACCGATAGAAGCATCATGCAGCTCTTGTTCTAATTTGTTGATGATCAGGTCTGCTTGAAACTTATCTACTTACTCTCAGGATATTTTCTGAATACCTGAAAACTGCTAGTCTTCTCGTTAGTGTTCCTAAATTTTTTTAGCGACCCTAGCGGAGGTTACCTAGAGTATTATCTCGAGATTATGCAGTTTCTTCAATTAGGAGCTTCATATCTTTAAATTTAAATAAAACTCAATATTTATGTGTCAGATATCAATTTTTGTATTAGATTGATAGGCCTCTCGATGCCATTATGTATGGAATATAACATCGTTTAAATGACCGCTGCTCCTTCGTTGGCATGGGTTATGTTGGCTTTGAGGGTGGCTGTGATTTGTATTTTATTGGCATAGAATCGAGGCTTAAGAAAACCCCACAAGAAAGAGTCTAATGGGGCCAAATCGCACAATCTCGGTGGCCAGTTTACATCACCTCAACGTGAGATGAACATGCCCTCAAATCGCTAATATACAGAATGTCCAATGTGGCATGAGCTGTGCGACACGTAGCGTCATCCTGTTAAAATCACATATCGTTGGTATCCGTCAATTTAAGCCAAAATAAGTTGGTAATCATAGAGCTATAGCACTTACCGTTGACGGTCATGGTCTGGACATGTGCTTGGCAGATCTTGCGTTTCGTCGACAGCAATAGTTGATTGTTTACTTTTCCATTGGACTTAAATTTATTCTTTCGGTAGGATGATTATGGTAAAATGGGAGAATCGAGCGGAACTTTGCCCGAACAAAATTCCCATTTTGATAAAAGAATTTTATCATTTGCACGTGTTTTGTACACTATATCTATCCATAGTGATTTGGCAAAACAGACTGAACAAATGACAACCAATCTGACAGATGTGGCTTTAACAACATACCCGCTACAAACTATCGAAGTTCAGAAATCTCTCTAGTATTCCCTTTTACCCTCGGGTTTTACCAGTTCAGTTGCCCTGTTTTCTGCGGGTTTCTTTATTCCACGTCCCAGCAATTATTTTTCTTCCTACTTGATGCTCTTCCTCTGAGCTCAATTAGTCGTTTGTTTATAATTGACTCTGTTCGTCTGTTCTGTTCATCTCAGGACACCATTGACTCAATATTTCGGGCGAATATAGTGTCCAGGACTGGAGCTTTGCTCATTCCATTTCCATCTCTTTTTTTCTCTTGTCTTACTGTCATTTTAGTAGACAACACTTTTCGCCTGTACCTTGCATTTACGAGGTGTTACACCTCGGGATTGATGAGCGTAATTGTCACCATATGATGAGTCAGCTGTGGTGCGGCGGTCTGTGAATTGTTTACTGAGCATAATGTTCGTATGCGTGTGTGTAGGCCCATTAATTTCCAACAGCTTTCAAGCTCTTCAATTTCTTGTTTACTAATATGTGTAAAATTGGCGTATTATTTTTCGAAATTGCCAAGGTTGCTGTTTTCTTAGTCCTCACATTACGACTGTGTTGTCATCCTTCTTTCAATTCTTGTCCACTTTCAGCAATCACTGCTGTCTCATCGGCAGGTCGTAAAATACTTCAGTCTCGTAAAAAAACAGTTAAAAATGCTGTACTTTAATTTTTAATTAAAATTTAACAATATATTTATATCATAAATTAAAAATAAATTCAGTATAATTTCCATTGAAGCATACAGTTCTCTATGTTTAAACTCGCATCACTAATTAACATATTTAAAACTATCTATAATATTGTTGATTATTAGTCCATTGTGGAGGGGCAGTGTTGTAATCGTACGGCTGTCGAGTCTGCACCTGCGCAGGCGGAGCGTACTGGCCAACGGCGGTAGTTGTTCCAGTATACGCGGGATACGTTTGAGCTGGGCTATAAGCAGGAGGTGCAGCATAATACTGGGCTTGCTGTTGCTGTTGTTGAGGGGGAGGAAGGTGCATCGGAGGCAAAGGTTGAGTGTAATTTGCCGGTTGTTGATACTGGTTATAGTACGTCTGAGTTGTAGGCACACTTTCGTGGATTGTAGGAGCTGATTCTTGAATGGGCACAGTTATGAGATTAGTCCGTACACCGGCCGATTGCATAGGAACAGTTCTAGGTCTTAGATTAGCTGGAACACCACCTCCTGATCTTGGATCGTTGGCAGTTTTAGTACGCACGGGTAAAGTTCTTTCGGGTTCAACTACTTCCATTGGTGGAGGATTTAACGATAAATTAGACACGTGTCGGTGGTTAATGTGTGCTTGTAGATCGCGTTGTGACAGATAAGTTCTACGACAACCACTTTGACCGTAACGTGTACCCCCATGAGTACACATAAATACAGTTCCTAGTCCAGTTTGTTCCACTCTTGTAACTTTTTCTAAACATCGGGGACACTGTTTCTGTTCTTGTTTACCACACGCTAGACAGAAGATATGTTTGCAAGGAATCTAAAACAAAAACAAAAATTGTAGCATGCTTCTGTATTTGGCCTTTATAGACCAGAAAAATGTGCAAAAATACAGTGTTTTTTTGACAGTCACTAACTATCTGACAAATGTTTTAGGTTCTATACGAGTATATTAACAAAAGTTGTGCAAATTTTTTCGTACATTTTTATTGATTAACAATTTAAAACACCTTCACGGCGGTTCAGGACCCCGGGGTCCTGTACATGTAATGATCTAAAATTTTTCTAGAAATCTTTCTTGTCTTTCCCAATATATGAAAGTTCAAAGAGCGCTTGTGTAGAATTTCGCGGCAAATGTCATAGTAACCGAAATGAAGTTCGTGTATTCCGATCTTTTTTGTGTTTTGTGTCAAAATTGCAGTATTATATTAATCTTTGAAGGTAAGTAAAGTAAAAGCTGCTCATTATGTAAAAGTAAAAAATTAATAAATTTCTTTAAATTATACGTAAAAATATTGAGCTATTTATATTACACTATTTTTTCGAGATATTTTCATCATTTCGGTAAAATAACAATCACCTTCATCTATCTAGCAAGAGACCATCAAGCAATATTTAACAATATATATACCTAATAGAATTTACCTTTGATTGTATTTCTTTAAAATGTTTAAATAGCTTTTCTTTGTTTTAGTTTAAATTAAAGGTGATCAAAATAGTTTCATACGAGTAAATATAAAACATCATCAAAATATAAATTCAAATTAACACGTTGACTGCCACACTTATAAAAAAATGCTCCAGAGGCTCCTCCAAGCGAGGAGTAATATTGTACATGAAGCGAGCACTACCCATATTCTATACAAAAGTGTAATAGTGACACCACACTTCGCTATGTGTTATTCGTTATGCGCCATATTTGGCGGCATAAGACGAAGTGTGGAGGATACATTCGTCAACTATTTGCTTTATTTGCTCGCATAAGCGAATACTCGAATAGCACTATCCGTTTACATGTCGGTTTTTGACACACTTTAAAGGGTACAAATAAGCCGAATGCACGCCTAATGTATTTGTCGACTCCTCACACTTCGCTTGTACCAGTGTCTCGTTGTTTATCTTAACCTAACTTTATTGTAATTCTCGTTATTCTTGAACCATTAAATCGACAAATTTGTGTATTTATATACAACTATCGTACCTATTACATGCATGTGTTAGTAGTCATCGCTTACTAGAATTGCTAATAGTACATTTCATATCTATTAGTACCTATGTATTTATTTATAGTTTTTAGACAAAACTACACTAATATTTTAACAAAAACACATTAAAATTACTATAAAGTTTTGGTTTATTTTGCAATCTAAACCATTTTAGACACAGATATTTTCCATTGTTTCATAATTGAATACTATATAATTCTATTTGTAAGACACAAGGTAGAATCTATATAAAATATAGAGATATGTGTGTGAAGATGCTTTGGATTGTAAAATAAACTTTTAATTGTTTATTTCATTGCACTGTGCCTTTTATACAAATATGATATGTATTCCAGTGTTTCAAAAATGGACAGAAGAGCGATCAAAATATTAAAACCAGCTCTTGAAACTGAAAAAGAAAACCAATCTTCTCAACCAAAAGTCATTGTACAGGAAAAATCTGGTAATAATCCATTACAAGAGCAAAATGGAAATTATTTTGGAATGGAGTAACTCTTTTGGTTACAAGAGTTACTCATGAAAAAAACAGTAAATCAAGAGAAGATGTGTTGGAAGAAGAAATTGAATATGACCCCTCTGAGAATATTACTATGTGTGAAAAAACTGATATCGATGTATCAAGTAAAAATGATGATAAGCCATTTTGTGATGACAAATGAATGTCACTAACATTTGAAGTCAACAATGTGACCTATGGGGGCCTATTTTCCGAAACTCGACCCGTTTGTAAGAAATTGTACACAAAAGTTAAATGTTAATATGGAAAATATCAAAGAACCACTAGACGCTTAAAGCCTTTTTTAACCAACGATGTTTTGGAATTGATTATTAGAGAAACTAATATGTATGCAATCCAAAAATTAGATATTTCCAAGAAAAGCAAGAAGAGAGTTGAATGGAGTAATACCGATAAAAATGAAATTTTATCATTTTTTAAATAATTTTAACAATGAGCTTAGTTCTTTTGCCGACACTTAGTGCTTAAGCAGTACCAGTCATTCAGAAGACATTGTACTAACATTAATTTTAAGTTTATACCAGTAGGGCAGAACCTTATACGCTGATAATTTCTATTCCAGCATTTCTTTAGTGAAGGAATTGTATCTAAGAAATATCAAACATTGCGGAACACTTCAATCTAATAGAAAAAGGATTCCAAAATCTTTTGAAAGAAAGATGAAGAAATCTGAGGTATATGGAGAAGAAAGTGGGAATGTAAGAATAATAAAGTGGATAGATAAGAGACCAGTTTTGATGATCATATCTGATGTCATACATGAAGTGATCCTTATAGAAACTGGTAAAAAAGATAGAAAAGGTAATGAAATAAAAAAAAACCAAAATGTATTATTGATTACAATAAAGCTAAAAAAGGTGTGGATATAAGTGATCAAATGTCCACCTATTTTACGGTTTTGAGGAAATTACTAAAATCGTATCGAAAGCTTTGTTTCGAGTTGCTTTTTGGAACGTGTGTTGTAAATGCATGGGTCGTTTTCAGTTAGCCACAGGAACAAAGTTGTCTATGTTGCAATTTAGAAGGCAATTAGCTCGGTCATTAGTTACTACGGCTACTAGAGATACCTACAATAAATAAAACACCAAAACGAAAAATCCATACATTTGTAAAACCGCAGGGTAAAGGACGCAAACCAAGAAAACGGTGTGTAGGATGTTACACAATGTTACGGAAATCATTTTCAAGTCGAGAAGCGGATAAGAAAGTTAGCCAGGATGCTTTTTACCTTGTTTCAACGAAAACCTTGTAAATTATTTTTAATGCATATTATTGTGAGTAACAATTAGTGTTAGGACAGATGTGAGAGAGACTAATAAATTTCATTTAAAAGTAGGATTGCATCAGGCTCGGTGCTTAATCCATATTTATTCTCATTAGAGTTGGATCAGATAACAGGAAAACTACTGGATAACCCTGGTATGGTAAGTTCACAAATATAGTGCCTTGACTTATGCATAATTTTGGTAAGAGATAAACGAAGCAATAAACGCAGCAGGGGTTTAAGAAGAAAAGGCACTAGCTTTGAACTTTTAAGAGGACCATGCTAAGCCCAAGGACTTTATGAATTTCATATGAGATATCCCGATTAACATAGAACATTAGGGATATAAAATCATTACCAATTTTTATAAAACATTTCGAAAATTATCTTTGTGAAGATAAGATTTTCAACTTTTTCTTTATGTGCAATTGCATTTTCCCAGCTGCTAATATTAATATTCCAAGCATAGTTTTCTTATCAGGAAATATGATATGGATCGTGCTGAGATGTGGAAAAATAAAAACAAAAAAATGCAATAAAACACTATGAAACGCAATGTAACGATATATCGCGCAACCACACACTTCGTGGAGTAGTAAACGCAGTCCCATGCGCATTTCTTAGCACATTTAGCGCCACGCTGTAATTGGTTATGCACTCCCTGGGACCAAATATTTAAAATGCCCTTTTTTCTATAAAGCTGCTTTTAAACATTTTTATTATTATATTTTAAACCACACTTTTTTCCACCTTTGTTTTTTGTTATGTTTTGTAGTGACCACTGGTGGTCACGCGGTCCCAGGTTGTAATTTTACATTGTGGGACCAAATGTCCACCAGTGGTCATGCATTTCATTATTTCTTTTGTTGCAAATGTTAAACAATAATAGCAAGAAGAGGTCTTGAGAAGAAGAATTGATTTGGAAGTTGGAAATTTTGTTTGATGTTGAAGCAGATGTCCAAGGACGACCCCATTGCAGATTGAGATTACTCATATGATGAAGGAAGCTCCGATTCAAGTGAGTGGTACAATAAATATGAGTCATAAAACTGTAAACATATTATTTATAATAAGTATTTTCTAGTAGGTTTGTTCCCCTACGATAAAAACCTGTCTTCTTTCCATGCTGTTCGAGAGAGTTCAATGGTCGCAGGCCGAATTCTACAAAACTCTGTGTAAATTAGAATCGGTAAATAGTGTAAATAAATTATTGTAAGACTTTATATAAATTAAAGTAGTTGTTCTAGTTTTTAGTGATAAGTGTCAGACTGTAATATATCAATAAAGACTCTAATAAACTGTTAGAATATTTTTATAATAAATAAAGTTAATAAATTAGACTTATCAATACAGTTCATGAGGATGAAATAGCTGTATCTGATGCTGAGAACGAAGCAGTGGAAGCAGTTATTTTTACCGATAATATACTCCAGACCAAGTGGGAGCCTTTAACAGGAGACAGATTGAAATATAACATATAATCCAGAAACTTCATGGAGCCTTTCCTATAAGTTACTTTGACCACTTCATAGATGATGAGATTATCTCATTGTTTGTGGAAGAAACCAATAGATTTGCTGGAAAAAGAAATACTGCGAATGAAGCTGCCCCAACAGGAAACGGAACTCCTAGACTTAATACGTGGATTGACACTGATAGCACAGAGATGCGCAAGTTTTTGGGCATTGTCTTCTCAATGGGACTTATGCATTTGACAAAATTGAGGGATTACTGGAGCAAAAAAAGAATTTATGAAAAAGGATTTCCAAAAATAATCAAGACGCAATAGATTTGAGATGGTACGTCCGATGTTTCATCTATTAAACAATGAGCAACTAATCTCTACTACTAGTACTAGAAAAGAAATTCAAAGTATCTTATATTCCTGGAAGAAGTTTGTATTGGTGAAAACAACATACCATTTCGAGAACATATTTATTTCTGACAGTGTTTCCCAATAAAAGACATAAGTAAGGTTTTCAAACTCTGTATTGCTGAAGGCTATACATGGTTGTTTAAAGTCTACATAGGCAAAGAAAGAGCGGACAATATATCAGTTGTCAAAAACATTGTCACAACACTGATGAAGGGACTTTTGGATGCAGGTAGAACTTTATATACTGATAACTGGTACACTAGTGTTTCGCTGTCTAATTCAATGGCAAACACATTTAGTAGGAACCCTAAGGACAAACAGAGAATATAATCCCCTAGATGTGGTGAAAGCTAAATTGAGAAAGGATGAAGTCGTGGCCCAAGAAAACGAAAATAAAACAGTTGTCTGCAAATGGAAAGATAGAAGAGATGTTCTTATGCTTAGTACCAAACATGACGACTCTATCGTAACAGTAAATTGCAGAGGACAAGAAGTTCTTAAACCAGTCATGGTTGTAGATTACAACAAAGGAAAAGCTTAAAAATTTAATTTTTATTATTTTTGTTTTTGTACTACAAATAAGTTAAGATTTTAAGTTAATTAAAATCTATGAATTTTTAGATAATTTCAATGCATTTTTATTATATACTGTAGTTTAATTAATACTATTAATTTTTTATATCATTTTAATTAATTTTATTGTATATGCATTTAATTATTATCTTTAATTTAATTGAAATCTATGAATTTTTATATAATTTCAATGCATTTCTATAATATGTGAGAGTATGAAAAACTGAAGATATGGCAAATCTAACACCATTTAAGCTTATGTTAAATGTCAAATATAAGTTTGGTTATGATGGGTGCCCTAAATTAATGATTGCTCAAATATTCTTTACAGCAAAATCACACCATTTAACCTCATCACAGGATATATTAATCCAGATAATTTAAAAATTCTTTTAATCATCTTCATTTCCAAAGGTATTATCACTTGTATTTTCTAAACTATGTAGTTAAATAAAAAAAACTCTTTAAGTGACTGTCAATGACACTGTACTACACTTTTACTTCAATATTTCTGATGTTCCTATAAATGTATCAATACAGACAAATCTTCACTACACTTTGCATACATAATAATTCTTATTAAAATCCTTTTAAATTCCTTACCATTCGCCCATAAATAAGTATAGGTTTCAAACATTTATCACAGCAATGAATTAGTGGATTGAGCACTTTTTCTCCAATCAAATTCACTTTATGTGACCAGTCCAGGCGCAGCATAGGTTCTGGTGGACCTCTGTTGATGGTTGTAAATGTCGGAGCTTCCAACTGTGAGATGTCAGCCTCAAGATCAACTGAAACACAATTTACGTTAACTTAAACCAAGACAACTGTTTAGGAAACATACTAGGTGGAGGAATATTTTCAGGAGCATCTTCTTGGGCTTGTATATCTTCGGGTACTTCTACTGGTGGGGCTTCGACTTCTTCATCACTTTCGATTACTTTAATGGCTTTCTTGCCTCGACCTCGGCCCCTTCCTCGTCCTCTGCCACGACCACGACCGCCCCGACCTCGTCCACGGCCCCTTTTGGGAGGTTCATCCATTTTCGATTTCATAAAATATTACTATCCTAACACGTGAGCACAATAAAGAATATGGCCGCAGCCAAGTTAAATTACAATTACTGTTTTAAATTATCCAAAATTATTATTACAATATTTTGAATAATAAAATAGTTTGATAGGTTAGGGATTTTCACCTATAACCTTTGACGTTGACAGTTTACGTTTACTTAAAATTTATGTTTTCAAACATAGGAGCTTTTTCGCGGTCTTCCAGAAGCTCAACGAATGATCGTTGATGTTTCATATCCGGTTTCTAGGGGATTTCTAGGGAATTACATTTCATTAACGGTTTTTGACGTTTACTGACAGTTAAAATTTCGCGCAAAAGTTACGAAACGGTCAGATTTGTTTTGAATTTGTGGTGGGATAGTCCGTCAAATGATCAACGGTTCGTTTAGTTCGTTGAGAATATATGTCTCATTTTTTTTATAATAAAAAACGTTTGTTTTTAATATTGTGATAAAATAATGTGTTATTAGATTTAGATAATCTATTGAATTTCTTATACTAAAAGATTTAAAACTAGGGTTGAATATATTTATTTACATATACCTAATTAGGTTGATATGGAATTTAAGTACATTAATGATAGAAATAAAACTCCCAACTCAAAATCTCGTGTGTTTTCAAGTACTAATAATAGCAACGATACTAGCTTTAAATTTTTGCCTAGTTATTCGACTCCACCCTCTAGGTATACGAAAATTGTAAATCCTTTTGAAAAACGGCTGATAGATAGGCTGCACCTTCCAACGTTTAGGTAAGTTATAAATCTTCTGTTAAATATATAAATGTATTTATAATTCTTCTAAATTTCTTTCTCCTACTTTGATCTAATCGTAACGTTTTTTAAAACTATTAAAATAAATAAAATATGCAGATACATAAAAATTAACTGTAAATGTGTGAAATACTTTGGGTAACTGTGAAAGCTATCAGAATGTGGTGAAATTAAATATTTAATAATTGAGGATACGTAATTGACTTGCGGCACAATTTATATAGCTTTTTCAGCAATGCTGAATCATTTTAAAATAAATTTAAAAATGTCTATAATTTGAGTCTTTATTCTGATACTGCTATTACATATATCTGTAGAATGAAGCATTGTTGAGGAATATAAAAATTTAGGTAAAATCACAGTAGACATGACTAAAGTTAGCCTCCTAGACATTGCCTAAATATTGCACATTATCCCTCCTCTTTGATGCTCTTTGTAGGAGGTAGGATATACTCATATGAAAAACAGATATTACTGTAATAATAAAATTTTTACATTACTTAAAAGATGGTAAAAGTATAGTTATATTAATTAGTTAAATATAATTATAAATACTCCACAATGTTAAGTAATATAATCTACATAATACAAATTTACTAGAAGTCTAAAATTATTTACACTTATTTTTTAAGTTCTCTTGTATAGGATAATGTAAAGTCAGTACTCTCAGGAAAATCCCAAATACGCTGAACTGATGAACTGCAAAGACTTTGTAGAGAAATTAAAAAAATTGTTACATTGTACTTTGTCATAGATCCCTTTTGTTCTATTTCTCCAAGAAGCATTTAAGCTTGTTTTATGATTTTTTAAGTAGAGTTCCAATTATTTCTTTCAATGGCATGTGAAACTAATTAAGTAATCTATTTTTTAATGAATTGTGACTTTTATAGATTAGGTATCAACCTCTTCATTTTCCTCAGGATATTTTCCATTTTTGATTTTGTTGTTGGTTTTTTTAGTACCCACATCTACAGTAAGATCAACTAAGAATCAACCTCTTCATTTTATTTCATTTCTTTTGTTTTGATTCAATCATAGTATTGAACGACTGAATCCCGCCAGTTCATAACAATCAAATCATATGGTGACAAAAATCTATTGATCGACCGCCAACGCAGCCGATCGAGATTGAACCAAAACAAAATCGCACAACCAATACTCTCATTACTTTCAGTCTTCAGTTTTTCCTCACTGGCGACGAGGATTGATATATGCCATGTGGCTGAATGATTGCATTCATTTAAATGATTGAAAACTTAAAACACTACATATTGCTATATCAAGCTCATTGCCTTCACTTGTGTTGTTAATAGTTATTGGTAGTTAAAATCATAATATTATTATTATTATTATATAACAAATAAGGGCAGAGGAGCGAGCTCCTATTATGCCCAAAAAGCAAAAATAAACAAAAATAAAATAGATCCTTATAAAACTAATACTAATTATAAAGTTAAGTAGTTAAACAATTAACGAAAATTGAATTGTGACACAATAAATAAATAAATAATGCTGTCCGAGAAAAAATATCCTATCCTATAAAAAAAATAAAGTGCTGTCAAGTTTATTTTTAAAGATGTTAACACTAGCTGCCGATATGGTGTTTTGATCCAAATTGTTCCATATATTAAAGATTCTGTTTGGCAAGAAGTTCGCCCTGGACCTTGCAGTAGTTTGTTCCCTCTTTAATTTGTATTGATGGCCTCTTAATCTATCGTCTTCATTCAAAGTAAATATGTTGTTTAGGTTCCCAAAATTATGTTTTAAAATACGGAAGGACATAATTAGGTCACCTCGAAGACGTCGCTGCTCGAATGTCGTAAGATGAGCCATGAATAGTCTATCTTCATAGTTAGGTCTTACACGGCCGTATGCCAGTCTTGTGGCTTTACGCTGAACGTTTTCAAGTAGAATTTTATCGCGACTAAGATCTGGATTCCATACTGGTCCGGCAAACTCAAGAATAGGTCTAACGTATATTGAGTAAAGTTTACTAACAGAGGTTAGAGATATGCGTGCAAAACACTTACGAATCAAAAACAGTTTCGAGTTAGCACGTTTACACACCGACACTATGTGATCAGACCAATTTAAGTCACTATTAATTATCACTCCGAGATCGTTGTGTGAGGTTACAGAGTTTAAAGGATGTCCATTAATAAAGTACGGAAGTGATGGGTTATTTTTGCCGATATGTAAAACAACGCATTTTTCAATGTTAAGCGGAAGTAACCATTCTGAGGACCATTTGAATATTGCGTCAAGATCTTGTTGAAGAATATGTTGGTTAATAGTTGGATTCACATATAACTTAGTGTCATCAGCGTAAATGGAAACCTTACTGGATACAATGAGCGGATATATCTCAAAATTAAAATTTGCACAATGACAATAAATATTTATATTTGGATGCAGCACATATTTTCATATAAATTAATTATTAATTATTTCTGAGTTACTCTAAGAGCCTAAAAACAAAAACATAATAAATTCTAGCTTCTCGAATATTTCTTCTAGAATTTAAACTAAATTCTACTTGCACCAACATAAACATATGAAGGACAATAAAGGTGAATACACAAATATGAAATAAAGTAAGCAATACTACCGATTCTGTCGATTCAGCTCAATCAATCTGTTACTTTTTATTTGTTTTAAATGGCAAAGAAAAGTATTGATACTAACAAACGATTGAAATGATTTGATTGTTTTTAAAGTCAGTCACTGATTGATTCGCTCCTTGTAAAATGAACAATTGACACAACACTAATATGCAAGGAAAAGTCAGAAAAGTGGCTAATAAGATCTATTTTCCTTCATGTTTAGAATGTTTTATGGTCTGTTCTTCAATTGTGAAGTTCCTGTTCATTAATTCAGAATTTCCTGTTCATTAATTCAGAATTTCCTGTTCATTGATTGTATGTGGGATTCCTTAAAATATTAGTGTTATACAAGTTTTTGCTGCTTTTGTCTACAATATTGCTAGTGGTCTCAATTAATTACGATCCTTGCTTATCAGTGCCTTTTTTGGGCTTCTATTGGTAATCACACTTTCTATAATTTTCCAAGGGATATGAAGTGTAATCAGGATAGTATATAGTGATTTTATGTATCAATCGCCTTAATTTTCTCGAAACCTCTTGTGCAATTTATATAAATGTTTGGTTATTGAAGGTTTTGTATTTCTTTAAATATTTAAATATTTCAGCAAGCCACTTCAACAATTCATCTTTCTTTCAGGAAAAATTTTTGGAATGGGTTCTAGGTGTCCATTATGGTCATATTTCTCCATTAAAACTTTTCTATTATCTACAGCTTTTCTCCATCTAAATCCTATTTTAAATTACTTTTCTAAACTAGTCTATTTTGTTAATAAAGTTTTGAGTTCCAATAAAATTAAAATTAGTCAACAAAAAGACTTATTCAGTAAAGCTATATTTTTTGATCAGATTTTTATACCATTTAAAAACATTTTCATTATTAAAGTAAACAAAATACCATAAATCAAATTTTAATTTACTAAGAATGTAATAAAATAAATACAGTATTGTGCGAATTAATGGAATCATATGCTGTTTTAATGAAAAAACAGTTTATTTAGTAAAAAATTATATTTTGACAAAACTATAAAGGTAAACTTACATTATTCGTCAGGAAATATGTCCCCCTTTGGCAGCAATTACTGCTTTTACCCGTTTTGGCATAGATTCTATGAGTTTCTGGCAGTTGTCAGATATCCTTTCATCTCGATACCAAACCTGAATGGCCGCTTCTATCATTTTTGTTTTAGTGGTACAGTCGATTTTTCGCAGTCTAGCTTTGCAAATGGCCCATAAATTTTCAATGGGGTTGAGGTCGAGCGAATTACCGGGCCAATCTAAAACATTAATCTTCTTATTTTTGAAAAATGCCATCATTTCCTTTGATTTGTGACAGGGAGCAGAGTCCTGTTGAAGAATCGCTCCTCCTTGGGGTTGACATTTTTGGAGTTGTTTGTCCAAATACTTTTCCAACATGGATTTGTATTTTTGGCTGTTCATCATGCCTTCAATTGGCACCAAAGATCCAACCCCCATGTATGAAAAACATCCCCAAAATATTTTCTTGTGAATATTGAAAAAATGAAAAAAAAATCACAGTGATTCCATTAATTCGCACAATACTGTACAGACTTTACTTACAAACTAACAATTAAAACTTAAATCTATTATAATTAATTAAAAAAGAAACACATTTTACTGCACTATAAAAAAATTGGAAAAGAAACAACCTGAATGAAGAATTGTCAAAAAATGAAATTTAGCGGCTGAAACTTTTAGGATGATTAGTTCAACTTATTTCAGAGGTAAACTTGTGTTCTGTATCGATGTGACTCATTGCTCTTGAGAAAATCCATTACCTCTAAGTAGGCTACCATCGATGAAACTATATTGATTTTTCCTAAACCTGCAATCTTTTTGATAATAGATATAAATATTGCTAATAAAATTCTTTCAAATTATAGCCCATCTGTATTTGCCACTGTATCAACCCCCAAGACTGAAGAAAAGTTCGTGTGGACTATAGAGGATATTTCAAGTTTAAAACCTGCCGATATAGATGAAGCAACTATTAGCCAACATGTGTTTGAAGAAGACCCTCATATAGAATCTGTGGCACAGCAAAAAATCGATGAATTCTTTAATGACAAGGTGATAGTTCCTAGCCCAATGGTCGAAGTTGTTAGAGTGCCACTAGTGACTGATAGTGCAGAAAACTTATTTAAGTTGACTGAATCTAAGGAATATTGTGATGGTTTGTTTTTTTTTTATTACTTCCTTTTGTTTAAATTGTTATTAATTATGAATGTGCCGAGGCTTTAATAACTTTTGCCAGTTCTAAATGATATTGTTGCTTAATATGATAAGTAGTTAATTTATTTTCATAGGTTCGACACAGACTGTTCTCTCCCTACCTCCAGTGTTGCCACCACATGTAGAAGAAATACTTAAGCCATACTTTCTGCCCGCAGAAGCCCAACAAAAGACTGACGAAAACGATGTTCTTTATAAGAATCTTTTTAATTTCGACACAAATGCTGGATGTTGTACTGATCAAGACGATAGCCACTCCGTGTTATCCGGAAAAGGATTCTCTCCAGTAAATTCTCCCGTCCGCATGGATAGAAAACATTCGCTGCCTTTTGAGATGCCATATTTAGCAGACTGTAGCCTGTCACCTATAGGTATTATAATTTTGTTTATCTAATCAACACACTTTGATATTTAACCCCTTACCAAGAAACGCAACAAACGCAATCAATCTCAGGCCAAGAGAAAAATTGCCGAAATATCATAAAAAACTGTTTTGCCAAAACTTTAAAAAAGTGTTAAAATGTGCTAAAACGTCGAAGAAGCATTGGAAAAGCGCCAAAATTACAAAAAAAAAATTTACAACTTTTAGAGAGGTCTTGCAAAACTGTCTAAAAAAACATCCAAAACAATGTGTTAAAGCGTTGAAAAAGCATCAAAACCCTTGGAAAATCCATGATGAGCTTTGAATAATCTCATCAAAATTGTTTAAAACATCAATGGAGTTAGGAAAGTGTAAAATATGTGCTCGAAGAAGTATTGAAAAGCTTCAAATTGGTAAAATGACATAGAAAACTTCAGATGAGAAATATCATCAAATAAATAATTAAAATGTAGTAAAGCGTCGAATATGCGTTGAAAAAACTGATTAGCTTCAAGAAAAGCTTTGATAAGTTCCAAAAAGCGGCAAAATTATTTAAAAAAAAAAGTAGTTTTAAACCATCAAAGAACCATATAATTTTGAAAGCCAGGAAAAAACGTTGGAAAAACATCATAATGATGAAAGAAAATGTGATTAAAAACATCAAAACTGTTTCAAAAGTTTTATAAAAGCGTTAAAAAATGCTAAAGCGTTAACAAGTGTAAAACTGTATAAAAGCATTTTCTAAGTCTTAAAAGCAAAACAGATCTGGCTTTTTCGTCAATGTTGACGCTTTTGCAATGTTTTTTCAATACTTTTACGACGCGTTTTTAATGCTGTAACACTTTCAATGCGTTTTTAATTTGTAACCCTTTTTAATGTTTTTTCGATGCTACAACACCTTTAAATGTGTTACAATATTGAAAAGAAGCGTTATATACTTTTGAGCATCAAAAAGAATGTATCAAGATTATCTAACAGGCGGCAAACGCGTTAGAAATATGTTGAAGCGTCAAATAAGCGTTATAAAAGCGATGAAAAATCCACAAAATCGACGAAAAATTGTCGGGAGTTTTGAATCATCAAATAAAAATAAAAATCATCCGTAAAAATACCGCCAAATACGTTAAATTATATTAAGGCGTCGAATAGTCGTTGTAAAAACATCGAAAGTGGCGCTAACGTCAGAAGAGGATTAGAAGAAGACAAGATTATTGTGTTTCTTGTTTAATGGTCAAAGTGTGCTGAAGTTGCTACCTATCTACTTGTAATTCATCATTTTTGTTATTGTTTTATAGACACCAAGTCATCCCCTCGAGTACTAAGATCAGCGTGCCGATTGGACTTCTCCAGCAAGATGAGCCTGGACGCGAGCCTATTAGTACCAGACGTAAACAATATGACTAACAACAGTGTTGTGCTCGGTATGTATTTTTGTGGTGTATTATCCTGATTTGTTGATATAAACATTTTCGTTTTGTCTGCAGAAGAATCAATATTAATAATTGTAAAAAATTATTGATCTTGTTCTCTTTTGGATGCGGCAATCAAGTGTACTTCTAAAATTGTCTGCTTGATAGACAATAGAAAAAACGTGAGTTTTTGAATACTGTACTAAGTATTAGCTAGATGGTAGAAATATTTGTGTGCCAAATTCGATAATTATCTATTGTATTGGTTTACTTTGTACATGTGGTACTTTCCACTTTGTTGGAAGTGTCACTTTGAAATATATTTACAGGTATTTTTAACCAAATATGTTTATTGTCATATTTGAGAATAAAATCGATTCACTTCACTTTTTAAAATTCTTTGGAAACTCAAGTTCTATTCTCTACGAAGGATTACGTTGAAAAATGGAATAAATTATGTAGTTATTAAATCGTCACAAAATAAGTTGTTATAGACTGAATAATAATTCGTAGGAAATATGAAAACGAATTGGTAAATTTCTACAAGTTATGCACAAAATCGCTTACCTTAAAATGGTGTTCTTTGGGATTTGGTTAATTATGCAGACCCCAATGTGATTACTCAATTCATCACTGCTCAATCACTTCAATGGAATTCCTTCCACGAAATTCTGTTGCACCCGAGACAGTACCGCCAGATATGTAAAGTCAGGAGTTCTTACCTTTCTCGTTGAAGGTTTTTAGCGAAGTCGTACCTTGTCGGTTAAATCTACTCATTGGAGCATGTCCATTTGGATATATGAGCGATTGTGTGCGTGGAAGTAAAATCATATTATATCGCGCTTTTGAATGAAATGCGAGCAATAAGCACATAAGGTTATTTTGCATCATTTCAAGGAAATATAATGATTAAACATCTATAAATAAGGATAAGGATAAATAAATAAAGAAATAAGGATTCCCGAACATGGGCTGCAGTCAGAAGTTTGGCCGAGATGTTAAAGAAACACTGTTTTGACTTTTAGTCTAGCTTTCGGAATTGTTTTATTCCTTTTTCAAGACACTGTAATATGAAAAATATGTAAATAATTACAAAATATCGATCAAAACTAAAATGGTAACCTTACCCACATCTCTTTCTCTCAAAATGTCATCAGTTATTTTAAGGAGTGCTGTTTCACAGTTGTGAAATGGCCTAAATCCGGACTGAAAATCTGTTATTATTGTTAGAAATATAATCACCATGCTGCATTTGCATAATGCGTTCTAACACTTTTGGTAGAGTAGGCAGAATACTAATAGGTCTAAGATCCTTATATTCGGTTGGATTGTTACATTTAGGTATGGGCCTAATTAGTGCTTTTTTCCGTTCATCTGGAAAATAATTAGTCGAGAGGCAACAGTTCATTATATGCGTTATATAAGGAATGAGTAATGGGCAACATTGAAGTAACATTTTTAAGTTTAAACCGTCTGAACCTAGACATTAGATTTAATTGTATATAACAATTTTTAAACTAGATTACAAGATACTGGAGTAAAGTTGAATTGTTCCCGATTAGGTACAGTATGTAAATAATTGTCAATTGTATTTTGATTGATTGTTAGATGTGGGATGCATGATGTATAGTACTGATCACAAACACAGGGTCATTACAAGAAGAGATTAAACGTAGATGTGATCTAGCAAAAGATGCCACAACAAAAATGACCAAAATATGGAAGGACTGTCAAATTTCAAGAGCGATAAAGATGAGTTTGATCAACTGCTTAATATTCCCAATACTAACCTACGGATGTGAATCTTGGACTCTGAGACAATCGGAGAGAAGAAAGATAGACGCCACTGAAATATTCTGTTGGAGACGAATGTTACGAATTCCTTGGACCGACCGTAGAACAAATAATTCAATTTTAAGAGAGCTAAAAGTTAGCCAACGACTCTCTAGTAAAGTCCATCTCCAACAATTAAAATATTTTGGGCATGTTATGAGAGCAAACACAGAAAACATGGAAAGACTCATAATACAAGGAAAGGTAGAAGGCCGAAGATCACGAGGAAGATCCCCAACAAGTTGGATAGATCAAATTACAGGTCAAATTACAGGAATATGCCAAAGACCTATGCATGAATTAAAAGAAATGACCAGACTCAGAGATCTCTGGAGACGGACAATACACGACATCACGTCGACCACTATACTCCCCCTGGGGGGTCAGGATTGAAGAGAGAGAGATCTATAATCAGGTTTAACAATCGTGGACTCAGGGAATCTCCCTGTCTTATCCCATTGCCAGCTTCAATATGGTCAGTTAGTTCACATTTCACATATATGATCAGATCATTTTTTACGATTTCGAATTTAGAACGAAAGTAATTGACCAAAGTACGTGAGTTTCTTATTATAAATATATTTAACTAGTACACCCCTTACTGTAAAAAATGTATTAATAAAAAATTATTCTTTTTAGAATCTTCGCAAAATGCCTACCAGCTTCCTGAACAGTTATCCGAATCACCCGTGAACTGGGAAATGGAATACCGCCACATATCGTTCGTCTCACCCAGTAGCAGTCCGGATTCCGAAAAAATGGATCTGTCCAATCCCCATACGCCAAACACAGGGTTATTCACTAGTCAAAGAAAAAGACTCAGCGACAGCTTTAAAGAAGACGATGACGACTTTGAAAAAGAAATCGAAGTGGTCGCTACCAAGGAAAACAGCACTAGACTCGGTAGGAAGTTGTTCAAGAACGACTTGACCGATAATGGTTATCATACGGAAAGTATCAATTTTTACGACGAGTCTCGAACGAGTTCGCATATGTTCGCGTCTACCCCTACGAAAACACAAAAGATGTAGTTAAAAACGCTTTATGTAGTTTCAATTTTAGATAGTTATACTAAAATTGCTATAGACAAATATATAGACTGTCAAATTCTTCGCCCTTCTGAGCCATAGTTTCGTATATGGTTGTGCTTTCGTCTGTTGTTGGCTTTCTCGCTTCCATACTATTCTCGTACTACTAGTTTCCGTTCTGCGTACTAGGACATTTAGCATTTCTAGACTCTAAAAGCCATGTCACACATTTTGGTGAAGTAAAATTTTTTTTACTTATTTTGACAATTTAAAATATTCGATTGAGTTATCTCAAACAAAAATGGTTGTTTAGTAGATCAACTGTCACTACGGGCAGTAAAAATCGTTGACCGTATAGTATATTGTGTATAGCCTGTGTCAGTTCTTGATACGTCGAGCTTTCAGTTCTCTTTTTTAAGTTATCTTCATCTTGTTCTCGTGCCTTAGTTTTCCGTCTGTCTGATTCACATCATAAACACTACTGTGTAGATTCTGTCGAAGCCACGCTTTTATAAAGCAGATAAAGATAAGACTTGCTGATGTTCATTGGTGATTAATGTGGGAGGAGTTCGCAATGGCTGATTTGATGAAAGTAAATCAAGCAGGTTGTGTTTATTAAAGAAGGGCCTTAATGCTGAAGGTAATTTGTTGCTGTCACTTTTTTGTTGAGACACTTGGGGAGTTTTTCGATTTCAATAGTTTCCAAGCCAGACGGCATTACAAACGTTGAAAGCTCTGATATCATAGATAAATAGCAGATATTTATTAAATAATTGAGGAAAACAGTGGTTTAGAGGTATAATGAGGTTTATTAAAATAAAACTAGCAAAACTACGATTCTATATTTTCTAAAAAACTATTCTATTACAACGGTTATAACGTCAATGACAGTGATAACTTGTCAATGTACCAAAATTCTTCTTCTTAGAGTGCCGTCTCCTACGGAGGTTGGCAATCATAATGGCTATTTTTATTTTAGAACTTGCTGCTCTAAGCAAATCAATCGATCTGTATTGGTACCAATCACGTAGATTCTTTAACCATGAGTTCTGCCTTCGGCCAACAGATCTTCTTCCTTGAATCTTTAGTACCAAAATAGAAGTTACTAATAATACCCGGTTTGCCAAATTGATTTATGATTTAGGCTACCAGTATTTAATAATACATAATAAATTATTTAGTCATGGTGACTTCGTCAGTTTGGCTATGTTTACATAAAATAAAGGGTTTTAACTTCTCTACTTTGATATTAGTTAACTGTGTTTTTTTTTTTTCAGCAAAATTAGTAAGACTTTTATGTATCTACTTGATTTTCGTTGTTCCTTATGTACTATTTTTGGTGTGATATTTTTGCACGTGTATCTGGAGAATAAAAGGAAACTATTTTTTTCATGTTTTGTTTCTCAGTTATTTGTGAAAATTACTTTACTGTTTATCTGTAACGCTAAGGACAAAAAAAAATTCTAAAAAATGGTATTTTGATTTGATATACTGATTCATATTGGACCAATTGAGGAGTTGATATATTGGTTCTGTTTATAATTATCTTTTTTTTTTGCAAATACATTGCGCATTTTTGTTTGTGTTCTACATGTACATATATTTATAAATCAACTTTTGGATAAGGATGAAAAACATAGTGGGCATCTTTTTCACTCTTCCATTACTACTACCACTACTTGTCGGTTTATAACATTCTCCGCCGTTTTCCGACTTCCAATCGCCACTTAGTCCGGTTGTTCCATAGGTCTTCTTCTATAGCCCTCTCTCTCAGTTCTTTATTTATTCCTTCGCTCCAACTTTTTCTCGGTCTACCTCGTTTTCTCTTTCCTTGTGGTTACTATTTTAATATTTCTTTTGGTATTCGTTGTTCATCCATTCTTTGTATGTGTCCGAACTAGATAAGTTGATTTGTTGTTAGGTCATCTGTGATTGTTCGTTTGATTCCCATTATTTCTCTAATGCGTTCGTTGGTAATCCTTTCTCTTCTAGATCTTTCTGCGGCTCTTCTCCAAAAATCCATTTCCGTCGCTTTCGGCGTTGACAGTGTTCTTTCTTTCAGTGGCCATACCTCACAGCTGTATAAAGTGATACTTTTCACTATAGTCTCTATATCTTCTTTTTATTTTCTTTGCTGATGGATTGGTCCCATAAAATGCTGTTTATCATGGTGATGGCTTTTCTCCCTGACGTATTTCTCTCTTATGGCATTGTCTAATGTTCTATCTTGTGAAATAGTGATACCTAGATATTTGTAGTCACAGCAGTGCTTTATCGTGGTTTTATCATCTAATAGGAGATCTTTTTGTTCTACTCCAATGCACAGATATTCGGTTTTCTTTTTATTTACTTCTAGACCTCATATATCATACTCTTCAATTAATTTTCGTGCCATATAGTTTAAATCGTCACAATCTTGAGCCATCATTACTTGATCATCTGCAAAGTTGAGCGCATATACCATAATGTTTGTGAGCGGTATCCCCATTGTCCTGCATTTTTGTTTCCATCTTTTTAAAGAACTTTCGAGGTATATTTTAAATAAAGTGGGAATAGACAACATCCTTGTTTTAATCCTTTTGGTGTTATAAAACCTGTTGTTATTTGTGTCGCTGCTTTTATTTTTATTTTTGTTTGGTCGTATAGTACTTTGACGAATTTTATTAATTCTATATTAATATTCGTGCTTTCCATTGATTGCCACAGCTTCTTCAGTGGAACGCTGTCGTAGGCTTTCCCTAGGTCGACGAACAACATAGGAATCTCTTGATTCCGTTCCATCTTTTTTTCTTTATCTGGGTTAAGGAGAAAATGTGGTCAATAGTGGATCAAGCCGTACGAAATCCTGCTTGTTCTTCTGCTTCATAACCTAAGTATCCTCTCTCGATTCGGTTCTTTAAAACCTTTCTCTATATTCGACTCATAGATCCGGTTACAGCTATTCCTCGGTAATTTTCACAATTATTTTTATCACTCTTTTTATGTATAGTACTGAGGTATGATATCTTCCATTTCGTAAGGATTTCACTTGTGTTTATGCATTCTTGACATAGTTGTCGAAGACATTCGTACAATTTGTTCGTTCCGTACTTAAACAATTCTCCGGGTATATCCCCTGGTCCAGGTGCTTTGTTCCTCTTCAGCTGTTTACATACTTTCTTGCACTTCTGCACTCTTTCATTATATGTCACTACAATCAAAAATCAGTTGTTCATTTTTAATCGTATATCCTCATTTTATGTCATTTCATCTACTGTGAACTTTCGAACAGTGAGAACAGATTCACTTCTTTTGTTTCTAATTTCTTTCGATTTTTCCTGTGTCAGATTCTCTAAAGTTGCCTTTGATGTTACATAATATCTCTCTTTCTTCTTTCAGTGATCATATCTATTAGTGATCATCTTTGTAATGTGTGATGAGAACTACGTTCCAACTCAAGCCATGAGCAAATAGTTTCATAATAGTGGTTATAATTATACGGGAAGGTTTCTAGTTGTTGTAACTATGGTTATAAAAAGTTATTTTACTCTAAATAGTTTGAAATCCATACAAAGCGATTGTCGTTTCAAGAAACATTTTGTTAATCGCAGTTAGTGCTGGTCACGTTGCCTTCTACGATATTTCTTTGTATATAAATTTATTTTCATTATATTTTTCAGTAAAATTTCCTTAAATCTGGAGAAATCTAGCCATTTCTATCTACCTCTATCCTTATCTAACACATGTGTTTTTATGGACCTTCCAACCGACTGTAATATTTTTCCCTAGATTTGGGGAAATTGTTAAGCGCTGACAGCACTCCTCACACCTTTACTGATATTAAGGTGCCTCTTTAAAGAGCTGTGGATTTGTTATGAAGTCCTTTTTAGGTATGGTTCTCTTCGCTTCTCTTCGCTTTCTGCTCACTTTTCGAACGTTTCTTGGAAATTATCTCGACGCTTGACAGTTGACACATGTCAAAAGTAGATAAGTAAAGCGGCGAAAAATCTTGTGGGTGTAATTTAAGGATCAAAATTCTCTGAAACGGCTTGCTATCTAGTAAAGATATTAAATATTGATTTTAAAAGTACGAAAAAATGTACACCATAGGTGTGGTATTTTGATATATTTTTTTTCTATAAACCTGGTCTTTTCTTACAAATTTTAACTTTTAACATTTTCAAGTCGTCATAATAATAATTCGAGTTTATTGTTGGAGGTAATTTACGAGGAAAATCAGTGCCAAAAAACACGTTTCCGCCCTATTTTTGGTACCCTAACTCGCATCAAGAAGGAGATATCGGTTTTGCACCACTCCTTAGAACCTTGTTTTAATTTTTGATCATCGCAAATCCCTAAATATCATCCATAGTAATAAGACAATGCATAAAATACCTTTTATCTAATCTAAAAGGCTCTAAATATTATGTAGAACGGCACATTCGAATGTTTTTTGCATTATTATCGAATGTGTTACATATTCTGCTATGATTGATAATGTGAATGTACTTTTTGAACCTCTCTTATGTGTATTAACTTCAACATTTCCCCGACTACCTTTAAATTTAGCAATTGGTATACACTTTTAAGAAGTTGTAAACACTTCAAGCGGTCATAAATTTGTTTTGATCTACACATTACAAAGCAATTATCACTGCACTATATACATTTTTTTTTCATTGTAAAAACAAAGAAATAGTATGACAGATGTAAATGAAGTTAACGAGTTTATCAAAACAAGGTACCAAGCGCCATCTATTATCGAAGGGCAAAACTTATCGTATAACCGTATTCTCATTTATTTTGTTTAAATATTTTAAAAAGCAATAAAAAACAGCTAAACGATTGTAAATAGTAGTATTAGTTCTTCTCGCAGCTTTTCGGTGAGTGACTAACGGGAGGGTTTCTGCTGTTCCAGATGTAGGTAACGTTTTATGCTTAAAATATTGAATACATATCAATGGACGCATCGTATTAAACCTACTTTATTCGATTCTTTTTTCTTTACTCAAATATTTTGTTCA